GCAGAGATGGAGTCCACAACCTACCCTCTCAATTTGAACCTGAAAGTAGAGGAAGAGGAAGAAGAGATTCAGAGCCGGGAACTGGAGGATGGCCCCGCAGATATGCAGAAAGTACGGATCTGCTCAGAGGGCGGATGGGTAAGTGAGGAGGTGTGGAGTTCACACAGCCCTGAGCGGCAGGCCTTGGGAGCCTTCTCCAAGTCTCCTCCTCAGGCAGATGTGGGAAGCAAAAATAGCCCAGCCCGGTGTGTTTGCATTCCTGAGAAAAGAGCCCTGTGGCTTTAAAAGGCAGTGCACAGAGTGGAGGAGGTGGTTATGGGAACAGTCCCTTCAGTCATGCATCTTGTCATCCTTAGGTTGGAAGACCTGGAAGCCAAGACAGTGTCTCTCTCATTCCCCATGTCTTCTGCTGGATGCCAGGCATATTGTAGGCACCAAATAGTTGTTTGCTAATTTATTGCTGGTGGAAGGAAACTACGTTAAGTAAGACTGGAATCATTGAGCTGACAGGAGGGCAGGTTAGGCAGGTGGTTGTGCCTGAGTGCCTTTTGTCGTAGTCCACACAGGGGAAGGGCCTGTCCAGCTGTCCTGGATTGACATGGTAGGCAGCAGGGAAGAAGTTGTAGCATGCACACCCAGGATAGTGTGGTAGAAGTACGCTTACACAACTATAAACACAACAGATAGTTATAGTTATGTTGTAGATATTCACAGTAGTTCCTGGATTTCCTGGTAATTAGGCATGAACAGTAAGTGTTGTAAATAAGCAACAAACTGCATTCCTTTTCTCTGCTTAGATTTCTACTGAGTATAAACATGATCAATAAACATAATATCCTTTGTTTCCAAGAAGAGTCCCTATCCCTAGAACCAAGGTACTTCCAAATTGTTCAGTCCAGCCCCCACTCCCACCCCACATGAGGGGACTGGGGTGCAGAAAGCTTATCTGCTTTGCTCCAAGAGAATACATGTACACTGACATTTGTTCTTCAACACAGGTCCCTGAAGTATATCCTTCAAAGTAATGTGTTTTACTCTGTGTGTGCTATGCCTCAATAAAAAAATCAAAAGCTATGAACCCAGGCTCTGGGTTCACCACCCTGGTGATGGAGGCCATGCTACCTTTGTCTCTTCAGTGTTCTTTACCCACCATGTCCTTCTTCCCAATTCTGATCCAGGCAGGAGTCAGGCCCATGCCTGGAGCAAGGCCCCAAGGGAGCAGAAATCCTGGGCTTTGAGGCTAAATTGGTTTACCCAGAACATCCAATGGAGTAGAGGACTTTGGAAAACAGATGCAGAAAACGTGACTGTGTTGAATGATGGGGAAGGAGCAAAGTGAATACCATGCTTGGGCTGGGGAAGAAGGAAGTGACCAGAGGAGCTGAAGGAGGGAGCCCAGCAGCTTGCTGGACTAGGGATTGGGCATTCGTGGCCTCCAGGCAGTCTGCCGTCCATCCACAGTTGCTGAGCACAGTGCTGGGCTCATGCCTTCATGGAGCTCCTAGTCTTGTAAGCAATACAGAGAAGTAAACATAAATAATAGTGAGTACAGTGTGCAGGGTGTGGTGGTGGAGATAAGGGAGGGAACATCTCATTTAGGCTGGAGACTGCAAGGGACTTCCTGGACAAAACCTTGAGCAGTGAACAATTTTGTCCCCCTTTCTCTGTCCCTGGACTTTTGACAATATCTGGAGACACTTGGTTGTCATAACTTGGGATGGGGAGTGTGAAATCCTACTGGCATCTAGTGAGTAGAAGCCAGGGATGCTACTGAACATTATAGTGCACAGGATGGCCCCTCTGCACACACACAACAAACAATTATCTGGCCCAAAATGTCATTTGTGCTGAAGTTGAGAAACCTTGCTTTGGAGCATTAAACTAGGAGAAGAAAAGAGTTGAATCTGTTTTTTAAATAATGTATTTTGGTTGTGGAGAATTATGTCAGGGTGATCAATAAAAGCTTTTCAAGCCTAAGAACTGTGATCCATATTAGAATAAAATTCCTAATTTTGGAATTGGCATGAAATATAATTTCAAGTAGGAAAAAGAAAAAAAAATGTACTTTGAATGGTATCTTAGTCACCAGTGGAATCAGCCAAGGGAAGGAAGGGGGTTTGCCCTCCAGGCAAGAGGACAGCTCTAGCGAATGCACTGGCAGGGAGTGGAAGGGGACATAGCTGCAGAAGAAGGCCAGGCTTGGAGCCAGGGTTAGCCAGGAGGATGTAGTATGCTGCAGGAGGGGTTTGAGCTCTTAGCTCTGAGGAAGGAGTCCTTAGCCCACCTTTCTAAGGGAGGCCTCAGGCTGTCCACAGCCACATGCCAAGGCCTAAGTGGACTGTTAAGAAAGGTTAGCTTTGGAATCAGACTTTCTAGCTCTGTGTCCTTGGGCGTGTTACTTAACCACTCTGTTTCCTTACCCATAAAAAGGAGGTAATGATTCTCATAACCCTAGTTTGTTTAAAGGATTCAGTGAGAGAATATATTTATGTGAGGGAGTGCCTGGCACGTAGCAGGCACTCCATCAGTGTAGCGTACAAACTCAGTCTCCTTGGATCCCTGCCATCTTTACTGGGTGGTTATAAGGCTTCAGTAAGGCTGTGCAGTGTATAAACGCTTTACAAGTTACCCTTCGAGATAAGCCTTGGAATGCCACCTTCCCCAGCAGAGCATGGCAGTACACACAAGCTAAAGGAAGTATACCTATCCAGTGAGTCCTTGATCTTCTGAGGGAAGGGAGGAGGGCAAGGATTGAGGGCCCCTACCTGCAAGGCCAGCAAAGGGTGTCTGGAGGTGGTACGCAGACTGCCTGGCTTCAGGGTTTTACACTGGCTGGCCCTGTTTACCTTCTGCTGTGTTCGGCTAGATAAAAGGGCTCTGTGGAGTAAGGGGAGGCCTGCGCAGCGGGGCCTGGCTGAAGGCTTGCTCAATTCTCACAGAGGCTTGCTGTGAGGAGAATTTCTAAGCCACTGCACTGTGCCTCCAGAGCATAATGTGGGCTTGTTTGAAGATCCTGCTCGGTCATAAATGGGAGATAAAGCCCGCACCAGCCTCCAGCCTTCCTCTCACAGCTTCAGGGCTCCTGACACCTGATGTTGTGACCAGACCAAAAATGTGCTGCCCCCTAAGAGTATTGATAGCCCCTCTGAAATGACAGGCATGGCCAGTCCTATTCCCATTTTATCAGCAAAGGGAAAGGGACTATAAATAGGTATGGCCTAGATGTGGAACATCCTAGGGAGAAAAAAAGGCCAAAGAGAGAGTTGTTTAAAGCCTGGGAAGTGGGAAGGGAGTGAGGTGGAAAATTCCTGAGCTGACTGGCTTACCAGGTCGCGAAGTCAGAGGAAAGCCTGACGAGCAATTCATTTTCACCTCCTGCTGTTTCACACTAAGGGATTTTTGTCCATGCTTACTCAAAAAGAGTAGGCTTGGTTTTGTGACAGGTAAAATTTAATGACTCTTTGAAACTATTCCAAATGGAACAAGAGAAGGGAAACTCAGAGAAGGTTTACTTAGATCATTTACTCGAAAACACATTTTGTTTTATTGTTACTTATTTATTTTTTTAGAGACGGGGTCTCACTCTGTCGCCTGTTGATTTTCAGCTCCTGGCCTCAAGTGACCCTCTCTCCTCAGCCTCCTGAGTAGCTGGGATTATAGGCACCTGGCTCAGAAAACACCTTTTTAAGTGACTGCTAGCTACAGGAAGTATCCTAAGCTTAGAGAAACAAGGAGTGAGCACAGGTTCTTCCGTCAGTAAGCTCGTGTTCTCCAGGAGGGAGAGACAAACTGAAAGAAAGAAAACTGCAGCACCCCATAGCACAGGACAGGGTGGGCTTCCCAGGAGCAGGATGTCTGGGCTGAGTCTTGGAAGATGGCCGGGCGTCAAACAGGCCAAGAGTTGGGGGAGGCCCTCTGAGGACCAGAGAGAACACAGGCCAAGGTGTAGGGGCATCAGGAATGGTTTGTTCAGAGAGCTTCAAGAAGCTGAGAACAGGCAGAGCATGGAGGTTGGAGAGAGTCCAGCTGTACCGTCAGGGAGGCAGCTCTGCTCTCCGTGTCACTGAAGCCTTGGTGTCAGGCAGTGCTGGGTTCAAACTGCAGCCCTGCCATGTATTGGCTATGCAACGTTAGCTTGGAAATGAGACCTCTCTGAGCCCATCTCCTCCTTGATTAAATGGGGATGTCTCTGCTCCACCACAGGGTTGTTGGGGGGGAATAAATGAAGCCGTTAGCAGGTCCTTTCCTAACACATGATCCCTAAGCACAAGGTGCTGTGGGCATGGGCAGAGAATAAGTGTGTGTCCTGGGGTGAGGGAGTAAGGGCCAGTGTAGCTGAGTGGCTGATGGTGTCGCGACACCCGGAGATTCAGCCGGCTATCCTGATGCTATTTTTGAAGCTGAGGAAAACAGGACCATGTTCACCCAGGTCCAAGATGCAGCTTTTGGAAGTAGCATTGAAGGCAAGAATGCACAGTAACCGGCATTCACAAAATATGATGAGCTTTAGAGCAGGATTTTTAATGACTGAAAGAAAAAAAACATAGGAAAAGTAAAAGCAAATTATTTAAAAAACAAAGGAGGTAGGCTTGGGTGACTGAGCCACCTTCAGCTACTGAGTCGTTGTCCCTCTGCTGGGGGCAGGGAAGGGGAGTGAGGAAGCAGGGCAGGGAAAGAGCACAGTCCTTAGGGCTTTCTGCCTACCTGGTCTGGGATCAAAACAAACTGTCACGTCATTATATAAATTAAGCTCTAATTAGCCCTTCTCTCCTCCTCCTCCTCTTCCTCCCTCTCCTCCTCCTCCTCATGCTCTTGTGGATTGGAAAATCCCCTTCTCTCACTGGCTCCTCCCTGGATCTCTTTGGGTTCCTAGTCAAGCCCTTGGGTTAGTATCCTTGGAGAGGGAGTGCCTGGGAAAACCATGAAGATCCCATCGAGAGCTATAATCTTATTTGAATGTACAAACCCACCTCACCCTGCCCTGGACAGAGGTTCATTGAGGGCAGAGGGTGTGGGTAGGGATGGGTGCAGGTGAGTTTCTTCTCTAGGGTCAGGGGTGAGCTGTGAGCAGCTGTCACTGCAGTACATGAGGCTATGACATCCAGTGTCTCCCAGGCAGATGGACAGCAGGGAGTTTTCTTCTCAAGGTGCTGCTTTCCTTATTTGTGAACTGAGGGTGGTAGCCGCAGTAATGAAGGAAGAACGTGGCAGGGTCCAGAAGGACCATACTCGTGCCCTCGCTTGCCTCCAGGACCACATGAATATGGACAGCCTGGGCCAGTGCCTCGCCTGATCTGCGAGAGGAAGGGCTGAGCCAGGTTGTCTGTAAGATCCAGTCCACTCTGAAAGTCTGTATCTGCACGTGCCTATTCGTCATTGAGAAAGGCCTATTCCCTGTTCCAGGTGCCGGCCCTATTTGATGAGGTGGCCATATATTTTTCCGATGAGGAGTGGGAAGTTTTGACGGAGCAACAAAAGGCCCTCTACCGGGAAGTCATGAGGATGAATTATGAAACTGTCCTGTCCCTGGGTAAAGCTTTGTTTTCCTTTGTTTCCTGGAAACTCTGAGCCCAGAGAATTGTTTCCACATCTCTTTTCTTCGGTGTATCCAACATCCCTCTCTCCTAAACTTGGACTATGCTTCCTCCATGTCTGCCCGTTTAATTTCCTATTTCTGAATTGGACAGTATACAAATATTGTGTCCTCTACTCAGCAACTCATGTTACCTCTCAGAACTGAAGGAGGATTCAGCCCAGGCATTTGCATTTTTTATTTTTATTTTTATTTTTGGGTCAGAGTCTCTCTGTCGCTCAGGCTGGAGTGCAGTGGCATGCTCATGGTCACTGCAGCCTCAACCTGTGGGCTCAGGTGGTCTTTCCTCCTCAGCTTTCAAGTAACTGGAACTATAGTCATGTACCACCACGTCTGGCTAATGTTTTGATTTATTATAGAGATGAGGTCTCGCCAAGTTGCCCAGGCTGGTTTTACATCCCTGGCTCAGGCAATCCTCTTGCCTCCACCTCTCAAAGTGCTGGGGTTACAGGCATGAGCCACTGTGCCCAGCTGCATTTTTTAAAAAACACACACAACCTTAGAAATGGTGCAGAGGATCTGGGCCTGTGCCTTGTTTTTCCTTAGGAGGGAAGGCAGGCCTCATTGTTACCCTGTCAGCCTCAAGAGCTGGGGGACATACCCCCCAAAATGTTTGTTTCCCTCACTACATTGATATCATTCATCTTATCAGCAGAATGTAGCCATTTAGAGGAATTTTCCAGTTTGCTCAGACAGGTGTCTACATGTTCACTGAATCAGTAGCTGCAGCCACCCACTGCCCAGCTACATGCAGTTCTTGTGTGGTTGCTAGTACCACCCCTCATTAGTAGAGATCCACACATTCCCTTGGACAGACTTATCTTCCCTCATATTTTTCTGTAAGTACACCTGAGCCTTTTCGCCTGGTCTTTCATAAGGATGGGAGGGTGCTTCTTAAGTATTATAAAGTATTTATTTTGGTAGTGCTCCAGGCAGTAACACCCAGCTGTTGCCTGTTTTATTTCCTGTAAACAGAATTCCCATTCCCTAAGCCAGACATGATCACCCGCCTGGAAGGGGAGGAGGAGTCTCAGAATTCTGACGAGTGGCAGCTCCATGGAGGCACCTTTGCAGATACTGCGAGTAAGCCGATCCAACATCTGTCCAGCATCCAACCATCAGATGGGAGCATTCAGTTTCTGTGTACATTCTGTGGGGTATTTAATTGTGAAATAGAAAGACAGCGGGCTTTTAAGTTTAAAAATCTCCCTCTTTTCAGTGCTGTGTGGCCTCAGGCAAATTCTTTCCCCTCTGAGCCTCCACTTCCTCCTCTGTCAGCTCTGGGTAATAAGGTGTGATGTGTGACCCTCTGTGTGGACAAAATAAAATGAGACTTGTACAGCATTTGGATCAGCATCCATCCTGGGTGAATGGGGCCACCTCAGTTGTGCAGTGTATGCCTCTACAAACTGAGGAGTCGCGAGAGGCACATACTTCCTGAGTTACCTGACTTCCTGTCCACTTCATCCTGAATAGAAAGAGCAGTAGCTGCCTTAGTACACATTTGAGCAAATGCATCTGAAAGGCACCTAGTCCTTTATCAAGAAAAATGGTTAGTAGGATAGCAGGCAAATAAATATACCATAACTTCCAGCCAGCCAAAATATTTTTCTCTAAAGGTAAGAGTTTAACATGCCATATTTCCAATTTTATTTTATTTTATTGTAGAGACAGGATCTTGCTTTGTTGCCCAGGCTGACCTCAAACTCCTGGCCTCAGGTGATCCTTCTGCCTTGGCCTCCCAAAATACTGGGATCACATGCATGAGCCAACTGGCTGAAAAATGCCATATTTCATTCACTCTAAAATAGGTTTTATTCCCCTACTGCTTTACCATCTCTGAAATTGAGAATGCTTCTTAAAATCAATGTGTGTCATGGCTTAATTAGTAGCTTTTTTTTCTTTGTAAATGCACATAATGATAGATCCTCCAACTGATGGCATTTTATTTTCAGCTTCTGTGACCACCTTCTAAATATAAACATACAATGAAACGCAATTCTATCATTGGTGTGCAAAAACAAATTTTCTGCCTTAAATAAGCTTAACTTTGCTAAGTGTGGTTTTTGTTACAGGATTTCTTGATTCAAGGGATGTGATTCAGCCCATGATGCATATGAATCTCTCTAATATTGTGTAGTAATAAGGGTTGCATTTGGCTTCTCATTCATATAAAAATTATTTAAACCCAAACATGGCCCCAAATCATTTTGTCCAAGCTTGATGACTATGTTGAGTTCCTAGCTCTGCCACTTAGACTCCCTTTTCTCATCTGCAAAGAAGGAACAGTGACACACACAGTGATGGAGAGATCTGATATGGGTGATCCATGTAAACTGGCATAGGGATAAGGATTTAGGCAGTGTTACCTGTTATTCAAGTTACTACTTCTGGTGAACCTCAGATTAAGGTAATCCTGGCATTGCAACCCAAAAAACCAGGACATAAGCATTTTGTTTACTGGCATTGTTTCTGCTCCTCCCTGTTTGCCTCCCAGAAAATGAAGAATCTGATGTGAAGCCTTCAGAGTGGGCGAGCCCAGTGAACCCCACCTCGCAGTTTCCTCAGCCCCAGCACCTAGACAGCCTCGGTCTCCGTTTGCCTCGAGACATCGCAGAGCTGCCGGAGTGGAGTGAGGGGTACCCCTTCTACATGGCAATGGGCTTCCCAGGGTATGACCTCTCGGCTGACGACATAGCTGGGAAGTTCCAGTTCAGCCGGGGCATGCGCCGCAGTTACGACGCAGGCTTCAAGCTCATGGTGGTAGAGTATGCTGAGAGCACCAACAACTGCCAAGCCGCCAAGCAGTTTGGGGTGTTGGAGAAAAACGTTAGAGACTGGCGCAAGGTAAAGCCGCAGCTCCAGAACGCCCATGCCATGCGGCGGGCATTCCGAGGCCCCAAGAACGGGAGATTTGCTCTGGTGGACCAGCGGGTGGCCGAATACGTCAGATACATGCAGGCCAAAGGGGACCCCATCACCAGGGAGGCCATGCAGCTGAAGGCTCTCGAAATCGCCCAGGAGATGAATATTCCAGAGAAAGGGTTCAAGGCAAGCTTGGGTTGGTGCCGAAGAATGATGAGAAGATATGACCTGTCTCTGAGGCATAAAGTGCCAGTGCCTCAGCACCTGCCAGAAGACCTGACTGAGAAGCTCGTCACTTACCAGCGGAGTGTTCTGGCTCTGCGCAGGGCACATGACTACGAGGTGGCTCAGATGGGCAATGCAGATGAGACGCCAATTTGTTTAGAGGTGCCGTCTCGGGTGACTGTCGACAACCAGGGCGAAAAGCCTGTCTTGGTGAAGACACCAGGCAGGGAAAAACTGAAAATCACAGCAATGCTTGGCGTCTTGGCTGATGGGAGGAAATTACCTCCATACATCATTTTAAGAGGAACGTATATCCCTCCTGGAAAGTTTCCCAGTGGGATGGAAATCCGCTGTCACCGGTACGGGTGGATGACTGAGGACCTGATGCAGGACTGGCTGGAAGTAGTGTGGAGACGGAGGACTGGGGCAGTGCCCAAGCAGCGAGGGATGCTGATCTTGAACGGCTTCCGGGGCCATGCCACCGACTCTGTGAAGAACTCCATGGAGAGCATGAACACCGACATGGTGATCATCCCTGGGGGTCTGACCTCGCAGCTCCAGGTGCTGGATGTGGTGGTCTACAAACCGCTGAATGACAGCGTGCGGGCCCAGTACTCCAACTGGCTTCTGGCTGGGAACCTGGCCCTGAGCCCAACTGGGAATGCCAAGAAGCCACCCCTGGGCCTTTTCCTGGAGTGGGTCATGGTCGCGTGGAATAGCATCTCAAGCGAGTCCATTGTCCAAGGGTTCAAGAAGTGCCACATCTCCAGTAACTTGGAGGAGGAAGATGACGTTCTGTGGGAAATTGAGAGTGAGTTGCCAGGAGGAGGTGAACCACCAAAAGAATATGATGCTGAAGCCATGACTGTGGGCAACTAAAGGCCGAGTACAGGTAACCACTCAGGAGCAGACCTCCAGCACCTTTGTTGGTTGATGCATTGGTGTTCTGCAACTCCTTTTCTCTTTCCGTTATATTTGTTTTCAAGTTCTCTTAGATCCTGCAGTGCAGTCATGTAGATCACAAGCCTGCAGCATTTTCTCCTTTATGTGAAACTTTATTGCTTGGCTGACTTTGTGTGTATTTTGCTTTGTGGCCTGAACCCAGAACCACTTGTATAATATCTAAAATGAACAAGAGTGAGATGCCAGAACATTTCATCTGAGAGCTGTAAGGTTGAAGAAAATTATTTGAGCCTGAAGGAGCATAGTCTGACATTGCTCGGTTCACACAAAGCTTTGTCTGAAAAGCCAGCTTTTTTCTTTCCCCTGTAGATTGTGCTTAACATGTAGGGCCAGTATGTATGCCAGGTATGCTTCGGACAGTCGTACTTACTTTTGCTGGCCTGCAGGACTCTTGATATGAGGAAGAGCAGAGTGTGCCATCAGTACGATGTCTTCTGGGCCTCAGATCTCAGTCCTGGGGTGGTCTCCAGCATGCCCACCAGGGAAATAAAAATAAATAGCTTTTGCTTGCTTTTTCCCAGGGAGCTCAAGGGTCTTAACATTATCTTAGTCTCACAATGACCTTCACATGGAGTGGGCAATGATGATAATTTCTTGGAGTCAGCAGATGTATGGGGGAAGGTATTTTTAAACTGAGTCTTTGCACCAAAAAAAAAAAAATATATATATATACATACAGAGAACATATCTAGGACTCCAGTGAGCAAAGTTTGACAACTGAATATAAAACACCTGGAAGTTGGGTATGGAAGAGGAGCAGCCATAAAGGAAACAGGGAGTGGGGGCCTAACAGAGACAGCACTGATGACATGAGCCCACAGCCCCCACAGCACCCATCCTCCAGAGAGGAGGAGACTGACCATGTACAGTAGGGAAACGGAGAACAACAGCTCCTTTCCTTGTCATTCCTGTTTCCCTCATTGTAAGTTGATTTGTTCTTACACTTGCTGTATTACATGAAGAAAGAAGCCATCCCCTTTACAGAGGACCTGAAACCATCTCAATATATTCTTTTTCTTTCTTAAAAAGTGTAATTATGCATTTCCGTTCTCCTTGCTTTTTTCTCCAAATGAAATGTTAATGGAAATCTTTCTCCCAGTTCATGCTGTAAAAGTCCGTCTGTGTTTCAAAGAAAGACATCTCCTTCCTCGCCCCCAAATCAAATTGTACTCATGTCACTGAACCCCATTGTAATTTTGGGATCCCTGGAATTACAGTGGAGCAAGAAGTTCTTACATGTATGTTCAAAATCACCAAAATTGTTTTCTTTTCCTCCCATGTCCCCTTCTCTTTAAGAAACCCCACGAATTCAGCTTCCCTTTTCTGCTGACCTTTTCTTATACTGCTTCCAGTGGATATCAAATTTTGAATTACAGTGAGTTTTTATCCTTTTCTTAGTTACCTTTTGCTTTTTCCATCTCCTTGTTGAATAATATTTTTGTGCATTTTTAATTTTCTAAGCTATTTACTACTTCAGGGACTAGGTTAAAAACTGCCACAAAAGGAAAGGAGAAAAAGCCCTGCTGAGCTGTAGCCGTGAATGTCGGCATTTAGGTCCCACTGCAGTTGGGAACTTTGCTCTTCCAGGCTGCCTGCATTCTCTGTCCAGCTGCTGAGGAAGTGATGGGAGTTGACAGACATGGAAATCTGACTAATGGGATTAGTGTGTTTGTTAAAAGTTTTAAGAGATCTGAGGCCAGGTAGGGTGGCTCACCTGTAATCCCAGCAATTTGGGAGGTGGAGGTGGGAGGACTGCTTGAGCCCAGGAGTTTGAGACCAGCCTGGGCAACATAGCAAGTCCTCAACTTTATTTTAAAAACTCCAAAAATTAGCTGGGCATGTGGTACACACTTGTTCCAACTATTCAGGAGGCTGAGGCAGAAGGATCACCTGAGCCCAAGAGATTGATATTGTGGTGAGCTGTGATTGTGCCACTGTACTCCAGCCTGGGGGACAAGAGTGAGAAACTGACTCAAGAAAATAAAAATTGTCTTAAGAGATCCAAAAATTCAAGGGTTCATTCACAATTAGGTTCTCTCTGTTTTCTAGCAAATGGAACTGTGATTGAAACAGCTGGGGAGGAAAAGCCTCAAGAAGATGGTTCCTGAAAGTAGGATGCACAGGTAATAGCAGGAAGAGGCCCTGGGCTCTGACCAGCCCGGGTCCGGACAGCAGCCTGGGCTTCCCATCCTGGAACGCGGCCCACCCTGCCCCACACCCAAGGTGTCAGAAAAGCCGAGGACCCTTCATTTCACCAGAGACATGATTGGAAAAGAAACTGCTTCTGACCTACTTCTTGTTTTGGAAGTTACTCCATCTGTCCATCAAAAGAAACCTGTAAATATGAATGAACAAGGTATTTCCTGGCGAAGAGACCATTGTTCAACACCAACAAGAGATGCATCATATGGGCACAACTCCAGTGTTGTCCCTTCTGTGAAGAAAGCCTCAAGTTTTATTCTGCCTTTGAAAATGCTTCCAAAAGTAGACCTTGTCCCTACCCAGGTCAAGACTACAGAGAAGGCTTTGTAGAAATGTGTCACTTATATACACCTGCTACTTACACATTTCCTCTTTTGGAAAAATGAGATACTAATGATAATAACAAAATTAAGACATACTGGCCTGGTGCCAGCAGATGGCTTTTCTATAGACAAACTAGGTTAGTGTGGAAGATATAGGTTAAAATAAACTATGCTGTTTTATTTATCTTCCCAATCTGGTTGGCAGCTAGACCTTTTTAGGGCCTCGTTTAATGGCCCTATTTTTTTCGTTATTATATTTAATGATAGGACAGGACTTAGTACACAAGCTCTTCTATTTCTCAGGCTGCCTGCAGAAGAAGTCATTATAAATTACCTGCTGTTAACATGGTACATGGCCCATTGACTCATCTGATACTTGTTTTGTTAATTTCTTTAATATTTTTATCACGGGGCAGAGGGAGGGTTTGGACCTTTTGCCACAGCTGTTTCTAGACTTCTAATCTGTCCTGCAGGAATAGGTAGGAGGTCATTGAGTTTTTACACCATAGTGATTTGCATTCCCACAGAAGTCGAGTGTTATGAAAACATTCCTTCAAAGCTATCTGTGCTACAGAAGATAGGCCAGAACCTCCTAGACAAAGCCATTGCTAGTAATGTCATTCCAATGTCAGATCTGGATAACAGGCTGCCATAACCACTTTTCCTTCCCGTACTCAGCTCACCTGTATATTAAACTGTTCTTGGCATCTCGAAACACCTATTTCTACTCAGGTACTAATTTTCCTGTTAGTGACTCACCTTTCTGATCTTTGTAAACCAGTTTTCCTCACTTAACCTCTAGTATCTGAATGACTTTTAACATTTGAATTATTTCCCCGTTTGGTTTTATCTGTACTGTATTCTTGGTCATCTCAAATGGCATTGTAAACCCAGCTTTCCATTCCAGATGTTTCCATTCCTTCTGATTCTACCTAATTTTTCATCCACTGTTGTAATTGCTGGTCCTTTCTTCTTTGTGTCTTATTTTTCTTGCTTTGGGAGCTTAAGAGATTTTATAAGACCTAATTTTGGGTTCCTGCCTTGGAGCCATAGATATCCTGCCAAGAAGAGTAGAAAATGGGTTCTCCTGTTTCACTCCACCAACACCTCCGTGAGTCTCATCATCAGCCGAGAGATGATGCCTTACAGGTTGCATAGCACTGGAACTTTCCTAGAGTGATGGTTGTACTGTCAGGGTTTTTCTGGGCTCATTGTTCCACTGACTTAATTATGATCTATGCCTAACAGAGCCCCAGTACAACTATTTTGCAGAACGGCTATTTCCCTAGAATTTCTATAGCACATATTGAGACATAGTTGTACTCCTTAGTAGATAGGAACTGACCCCAACAATAAACTTTGATAATAAAGACAATAGGCTATGGTGGCTTTATTTAATTACCTGTTAGCATTGCGAAAAGTTACATTCCAAACTATTGGTGACACTTTATTTTCCATCCAACTTGGTACCCATATATCACACTTTTGATAATCAGATAAAGTGTTCAGGGGGATGCTGTATAATATGGATGTCTCTGAAGACAAAGGGAAGAAAATATGTGGTGCGGGTCTGGTGTAAATATCTCTGATTCAATCAATCATGTTTTAGATGCTCAATTACCAAAACACATGAAGGAACTCCATAAACGGACATGACTTTAAAACGAGTGAAAACATGCTAACAAGTTGATGGACAGAAAATAACTTAAGAAAGCATGATAAACTCGGAGTTTATGTTGTGTGCTTTAGTTGTGTGCTTTCAGTAAAATCAGTCCTGACAATCTACTGTGCCCATAGACTCAAGAAAATAAGTCGTTTGCTCTCCAAGAATAATCGAGATGATATTTTTCCTTTTTAAACCACCAGAATTAAATGCTGAGCCACTCTGTGGGGTTCCCACTCCAGCTCTGACCCCTACACTAAGCTTCCTTTACCTTACTCTTCCTCCAGGAGGTATTGGAGGATGAATTAAAGAGTGGACAGACACAGGCATTTATCTGTGGTCAAAGGTAACCATTTAGAAGATAATCCGGGAACATCCCAGTTACCTCAGGCAATGGAACAGTGTTTGAGGAGCTGTGTGCTTGGTTGATCACAGCAGCGGGTGATAAAGGTGATAAGAATGTACTAAATTAGCCCACCACCTGCCTGACAGTAAAGCAGGCCTTATCAAGCCTGGTTTTGCACGGACACCTGTAGCTAGAAGACAACTGATTGAATTCCAGCAGGAAAAATAAGCTTTATTCTAAGTCTGAAATTATCTGGTTTCTAACAGCTTTTTACCTCACTGAAATAATTATTTTTCTAAACGATGCTTGGTAATAAGTACTCAGGATTTTTTTTACCTAGTTATAGAAGACACTGCACTCAGAATCCCTAAGCTGGCAGTGGTGTTAGAGGCGGAGCCAGCCTTAGGCAGAAGAATTAAATCTTTCAGGGGCTCTCTTGAAAATGCTAAATATTACTCTACCTTCCTGCCCTGTCCTCAATCTCATCTCTCCACTTTAGAAAATAATTTGAGAAAACTGGCAGGGAGAACACAGTTTAGAGTGTAGACCAGAAATATAAGAGGCAAAGGGAGTCCTCACGGTCTGTGGTTCCACCAGGTGGGTAGATGACTCTAAGAATTTAGGCCAGGCCCTAGAGAGTAGCGAGGAATTTTCCTGTTTGGAGTTTCCTCTGTGCTACACTGACCCTTCCAGGGCCTGCCACTGTAATGGCAGCAGGACATGGCCAGGTCTTGGCTGCCTCTCCACCTGTGGAACTCATGAACTCCAACATACTCCCTGCACAGCACTGCCAGGTGTACAGGCAGTCCAAACAAACCACTACATTCATAAATGAGTGTCAGCTCAAATTCTTCCAACCCCTACAAATTCTTAAATGTTACCTCACCTAAAACTCTAAAGGGATAGTGTCAAGGACTGAAACTTAACTGCTGATTTCTTTTTTTTAGTCTTAATCTACACATCACAAAAGAAAGGGCATACCTTATGGGAACCTGCTTTTTCATCTCTCTCATCTAATACATTCTTTTGAAAAGTCTCTGCCAGGATCTTATAAAACAGGGCCTTTCATATTCTGTAGACGGTAGTATTCCTCACGTTTACTTTAGTAAACAACAAGAAAGTTTTCTCCCAAAATGTTTATTTGTCACATTTAAAGTACAAAATCAAATACACATCCAGATATGTGGACCATATATACATACTATACATACATTATTTAGACCTATGCAGACCATCTATACATTCTAATTCATCCATCAACACTATCTCTTGAGTAAAAAGAAGCATATCTCAAAAAACAAAGTTATCAATAACACTGTCGCATATAAATTAATTTTACTTTATCACTTGAAAGGACAGAAATCGATATTTCATAAGAATAGGTAAATTACCAAGTATAAATCCAAGTGTATAAATTCCTTATAACACATTCTATAGGAATAATTCATAGATTAACTTGCCAATCAAAGTCTGTGGGCATATTGACTAAAAAAACTTGCATTATGGGAAGACATTTTTATAAGTTTAATTGCATTCCAAGAGTTTTGCTTATTTTTATTTTAGTTTTAAATGCAAAGGGCTTTGTTTTGTCTAACAGCACAGCATTTCCACATTATATTTTCTGTAGAGTTGTAATGATGACTCATTCGGAGGCTACCTGTAGCTGTTAGAAATTAAACTGGTTACTAAAGAAGATATCTGGTTTTTAACACTGCAAGTTATTTCAACCAAAATGCAAGAGCACAATTCTTCTGGAGAAAGGCAGAAATTTTAGACTTTTAGATACAGAATATATGATGTCACTGAACACATGGATGTCCTGCTGATCATGAGGACTAAGTTATAACAGTTTCTTTGTTCTAGAATGTCATCTATCTTACATGCAGACCAGAGGACACTAAGCCTCAGGTGCCTAAATATCTCCTTCCAGGCACAGAGCTTTACTGTGCCTTCTCCCACCACTGGGAACACATACATACAGAGATATGGGTCATTATCAAAGATTTATATGAATGGCTTCACAGTAGCAACACAAAATGTACTCAACGGTCACATTTCCATAGGAAAAGTTATATATACACTATACATTTCAGCCTTGAAATGTGGACCCAAAAAACATTCAATTTTCAATAACCAAAGAATATGGTGAGGGCCCCACACCCTCCAATCCTAATTTAGCATAGCAGAAGTCCTTCCTTGGCTGCCAGGCGCTGGCGGTGGACTTTGTCCTGCTGTAGCTCTTCGTGATTTGGGTGCCAGAGCTTCATGATGATCCTTTCGATGTTAAGGGCATAGACGGTATGGGTAGGAATGACTTCCCGGTGTACCTGGGATCCAAAAATGAGCATGTTCCCAATTTTACTTTATTTGTTGGAAAAATAAGTCTACTAAAGTATAAGTAGGGTTTATCCCTACAAGATATACATACAACCCCTAAACTATGTCAGAAGAAGCTAATGAATCCCAAATCAGGAAACAAGAAGATAACAAGGTTCTGAAATAGGAATAAAGGAACAAGGGGATGTTTTTGTCTTGTCTTTCACTGGGGAGGTAGAAGATGGGGGAGGAAAATTAGGAAGGACTCCTGGGCTCAATAGCTGAAAAATGAGCTCATATTAATGACTTTAAAAACAACCAATAAAAACTGAAAAACCCCAGACCTAGAAGTAGAAACAACTAGTGAATATCTTTGCAGACTTGAAGAATTGTTGAATCTCTCCGTAAATCTAGATAAACTTTAAGGAGCCAAGAGTTACCTGCAAAGCTTCAAAAAGGTCGTACATGTTCACTGGAGGCAAAGACGCAGGCAGAGTGTCCCCAGAGCACGCCAGCAAGAGCGCAGCCTGCTGCTCTGCATCATCAGGGGGCGGGTGGGACGCTGGGTTCTGACCCACACAGGGAGCAGAAAAAGCTGGAGGGCTGAAAAATGAAGATACAGAAATATTTCCGGTATGAAGACAACTGAACCAACCAGCAGAGTAGGAGTGGCCTGCTAGAATTTTTTTTAATTCTTTAATAGAATTAGAAATCCATTCAATATATACTAGTGCATACATGCACAGTCTCTAAATTTAATGTTAAAAGGCAGCCCATCTATCAAACTGGAAACAAATGGAATGCAACTACATTGATCCTCCTTCCTTCAAAATGCTAAAATACTGACTTAGCTCAGTATCCGAACCAAAATTGTTTGCAGTCCTCAAAGGGCTTCCAGTTGAAAAAGCTAACAGATCTTAACTAAAGGAATATGAAATTAAAAACAAGTAACTTGGAGAGGAAGGTGAATGATAATAGAGACAACAGGCTCAGAAATCAACAGCAAGAGAAGATGATACAGCACAGAAGAAGCACCAGACAAACATGGAGGGTGGAGAAAATTAACCCAGCCTTGCCAATTTCCCAAAATAGAGCCCAGACACAATACAAGCTGAGGAGTCCGGCATGGTTTCTACATCCTTACATAGCAGGGGATCACCTACACAACTCTGAGGAGCACACACACAGGTAAAACAAGAGGCCACAGCTCAGAGGAGAGCACAGAGGAATGTTAGCGTGAGACTGAAGCACTGGACAAAATCAGAGCAGCAAGCAGCCGAGAGGCCACAGCCCTCACGGGGACTGGCCAGCAGTGTAGAGTGCTCGGGGTCCCACCAGGGTCAGACACTGCTCCCAATATCACCCACTACAAGGAGACAAGTTTTTGGTTTGGTTTTTTTTTTTTTTTTTTTCTGGAGAAGAATGATTTACAAATGAAAACAAAGAAACCCAAACAGGTATGCCTGAATGAGATTTAGACAACAAATCACCACATATGGCAATTGAAATAGTGAACCTAGTTTAAGCGAATATGGGTCTGTGACCCTATACAGAGGTCTTCAGAGCCAGGAGATGGGCACTGGGGTACAGCCTCCCACGTGTGGTGCCAACACTGTCTGCCTTGTCCAACCCTTGGCTTTCCTACCCGCACCCTGTCTTCCCTTCCTGTTATTTCTTCACCACCATCACCCCTGCCAGTCCTCCCAAACATACTTTTCTCTCTGAACTTGCATCTCCCTGTTTTCTTTACCTCTCTTTTTCCCAACTAACCAGATACAATCAAAGAAAACTCAGTCACTTATATTAATGTTTTTTTCTTTCCCAAAGGATTACAATTCAGACCAAATGGTGGTGGGGGGTGGGAGAATGGAGAAAGGGAGGTAGAAAGGTAAGGAAGACCACATAGATGAAGGTAATCCAGACTGTCTACAAGGGGTGACTTGACATAAGAGAGGTCGTGAACCCTCAATGGTGTGAGGACACAGGAATTCCAGAGATGAAATGAGAGAAAGGTCTACACAGCAGGACACCAAAGGCAATCTGATGACACCAGGTACAGGCCACTATCTTGAGCTACAAGAGCCAGACGACCTGGAGAAACATCTGCCACTCCTCTCCCTCCTCCATCAAGAAACAGCCTTCACTAACAATCACAGGCTATGCTTCTGACTGGAAGCAGGTCCACTTCCCTTGCAAGGCAGGTACCATCAAGAGCCATCAGGATGCCACTCCACCTCAGAAAATGAAGGGCACAATCTCATTATATCCACATGCAGGTGCCAAACTCTGGAACTTCACTTCTGATTTTAAAAAGCATCAAAATAATTCACTAGGCATCATGCAAGGATAAGACTAAAGAAAATAAAATTGTACTGTGTCAAACACAATAATCAACTGTTTGACAGTAGTCAGTCTAAGAGTAGTGAAACCAACTACCAAAGGGTGGAACAAAAATCACAAGAAACTGTATTTACCTTTCTATTAAGTTGTTGTAAGCTACTACACTATTCTTCAGGTATGGCTGTGGGGTTACATTACTACCAAAGGCATATTTAAAATGGCCATCGCGTAACCGATATGCTTTTCTTCTTGACACAACTGATGTCAGGATATCTTTAAGGTGATTCTGTAAAAACAAGAAAAGAAAAATTGCATGATCTCTCTAAAAATGAATCATAAAACTTCCATCAACCAAAAAATGTTTATTGACATTTAGATGGAGATGTAGAATAGGTTAGTACATGCTAGAATCAAATGAATGTTAACTAAAGAGCCACAGAGACACACCAGGGGAGAAGGAAGGTATAGTAAAGAGTGGGATGTGCTTATTTTTATTTAATTGCTCTACATGAAATTTATTTTCAAAGTTTTTACATCTCTAAATTGGCTTCTCTCTCTCAAAAATGATTTTTAGATCACTTTAAATAAGATAAAAGTACAAAAACAAGTAAATTTTTTTAAAAAGAGGCATGAGACTTGAAACTTGGTTTCAAATGGGACAACAAGCAATCTACCAAAATCTTTGCATGCAAAGAAACTTGGTTCTCTCAAAAGTCATAAATAGCAGATATATAGGAAATAAACACACAAAAAATTAAGTACTACTTGATTTCTCTTCATTTTTATGAGAGCCAAGTATATAAGAAAAGGCTGGAAAATGTAAAAATAGAGAACTAGTCCCAGCCTACCATTATTAACAGGGGATCCAGGATCAGGCAAGTGTTTCAATTATACCAAAGAGACTGGCTTATATCAAGACATTGTTGTATTCTTTAGAATGAGTTTGCACCAGAATTCATTTAATGTTTATAACCTCCTGAGACAGCTATTGTTATTTTTCGGGTACAGATGAGGAAAATGGAAAGGAATTACCCAGTGTCACCTGACAGCATCTGTGCACTACAGACCCCAAGGAATATTGTGTCAAGTAACTAAATGGATACAATGAATGCATGAGTGGAATAGTGTGCTGAGTGAGAAAAGAATTCCACTGTTCAGATGCCAAGTCTATTGCCCTCTAAATGCTGTACCACAGCAAACACAAGTGTCTTTAATCTTTAGGATTTGTGATCTCATTTCTTTCCTTAAAAACTGTTCCCTTGTTGACAGATTAAACATGAGATCAAACAGAAGTGTTATGCCATAATTAACCTTTTTTGAAAAGCTTAGTCTACTAACTGGAAGCAATTATTTGGATGGTGATGTCTTTCTCTTCTTAAAAGAAAACAACTGCAACAATGATAGTCCGGTGAAATCAGAGTGACATCTGGTTCTTTTCTTGCGATATCAACTTTAAACAACATGCACAAGCTTGTCACAGTCAATCTGTAAAATTATTTTTGCCAACAGCAAACCAACCTCCACTGCATAGACAACAGCTGAAACGGCCTCCTCAGTGACATTGTCCAGTCCATGCTCATACGCAGTCACTATCATTCTCCCTTCCAGTTGGCCCCGAGTGGGAAGCATCATTGTGTGGGAACACAGTTTCAAGTCGTCATCATCTTGGGGATCCTTTGCCACAAACTGCTGGGCTCCTGAGAGGGGGTTTTGAGGCTGGAATCTATGCTATGTGGAAGAAAACTTCAAAATTATTCATTAAAGTGGCAGGTAAGACACAAATGAAAGTAACACATGCATTAAACTTGAGATCCTACAAAAATCGCACTAAAACTATACTATAAGGATTTTAAAAATAATAACAATAATTTGTGCCCAGTCACAGATTCACACCCATTAAATGGTAATAACAAAGACATGAATTAAGGAGAATAAGGATAGCATACACAGCAGTTTATTCTATTCAATGAAAACCTTGGTGACCACAGAATGCAGGGTCCTGTGCTAAAAATAACAATTAGGAAGAAGATACAAAACTATATTCAAGCAAGTCAGAGCATTTTAAGTATAACTTTAGTAAGTAGATTCTAGAAGTACAAACATAACAATTAATGCTTCAATTACTAGCTAGCCAATATGACAGATCTAGTAAATAGTCTAAGATCATGCTGTGTAGTGTAACTATTTAATTGCTGTTATTTTCTATTTACCTTTCAACACAGAACCTACTCAAGATACAGTTACACTGTTTAAAACAGTTTTTCTCGGGCAAGAATGCTACATGCATCCATAGCCTATAATTTGTGTGACAACATCAAGGTTGCTTTGTTCTTACAGTAGGGAAAGTAAATAAAGTAGAAACCAGGAGGCATTCACAGGGTTGGGGATCATCAGAAGTCAACATGGCAGATTAGCATCAAAGATGGAGTTACTTTTGTCTCCACAATCTGCCAACCCACTAAACACCCAAACAGAACAAAAAGAAGGAAGACTGGATTCCTGCTCCTCTGACTGCTTAAGCTAGGACACGGACCTTCTCCTGCCATGGGTGTTCCTCCTCCTCAGGCCTTCAGACCGGAAAGGAATCTACACAATCCGCCTTCTGGCTTGCAGGTGTCTGAACTACACCACTGGCCCTCCTGGTCTCCAGCTTGCAGATGACTAATTGTGGGACCTAGCCTCTGTAATCATGCCCATCAATACCTTATAATAATCATCTTTCTTGGACACAGAGACACACACACACACACACACACACACACACACACACACACACACACACACACCACCCTACTGACCGGAAAAAATAACAAAAGTAAAAAAAATAAAAGTTTTTCTCAATCTTTTTTCATTCCTAAAATCTGAGCCTTCCTCTGACTCTGTAAGCTCACTTGTATTCTTCATCACCACTGGGAGGTATGTCCTGGTATCTTCTCCTTAGGCCAACAAACAAGATTTTGTAGTGAAGATAGTTTGTCTCTGTTAAAAGCTTATCTTACAAAAATGTTATTTCTCCATTTTCCAAGTATAAACTGTTTTAGATTGAATATGCCTTTTTAAACCAGGCAGCCTCTCTGGAGCCCTCCAGATTGGTTATTACTAATATAAAGCATAGAGCAATAGGAAATAAATGTTGGTATTAATCAATAAAGCTATCAATATCCAGTCAAACGTATAAAAAGGTGACTTTTGGGAAACCTTTTCCCCTAGAGATAACCTGAAAAAAGCAATTTATTCTGAAATGTTTACACATTTTGTAGCTAAAATGCCTTCACAACATCTCTACTGGTCCCTGAGAGGCTGAAGGCCCAGCTGGGCATCACCAGGATCCTGCTAGAGCACTCCAGGAATAGATGTCTCAATGTGAGAACATTATTCATTCAAAAAAAAAATATTCCAGAAGAGAAAGAACAAAGGCATAGCTTTGACTATCTGAAAAAGCATTAGGTACTAGTGATAATATTAATAGTTAAGCCATAGCAAACAAGAATTATAAGAATTCAGACACCTAGGATTCACAATCCTTGAAACCCTTTTCTCCCAAATCATGACCCCTTTTTTCAAGTCTACCACCAGTATTTTAATATTCACATCAGCTCTTCCCTCAGTCATTATCTAAATCTATCAGAGAACAACCTACATCAAATTTCTGACGAACAGACGAAAGCTTTTTCTTTCCCTTGGGTTTTCCAGGTTTGGCTGCAGAACCTCCCGGCCAGGGCAAAGATCCAGCACCCTCTATGAGACAGAAAAATAACCATAAGTGAAAATAATGACAATTAATAACTGCAAAGTTTGTTTTCATTCTGGGCTAAAGAATGCTCAAGAAAAATAAATAATAAATGTTTAAATTCAAATATTCTCTACTTCTCTAAACAAAATTATAAATTCTCTCAAAGTACTTTTTCTAGCTATAACCAAAAAAAATTTTAGCAAGACAAACTGTTTCTTATTAATGTTTATCAGATGTTTTGTTTATTAGTAGTATTATTATTATAAAAGTAGGACAGAATTTGCTGGTCAAATTAATGAACTGAGCACATGCATTTATCTCCTCTCTCCTCCAAGACCTTACTAAAATAGAGAGGAAAGGAAGGTAAATGGCCCAACACAGACACCAAGGAAAACAAGTGGCCAACAATAAGAGACCTCCACAAACATCTAGGCTGGACTAAAAGGATGCAGACATATAAAGCAGACAAGACACCCAGAAGCTGTGACCTAGGCTAGGCAAAGGTGCAAGTGAGGCAGAAGCACGTTGGCCTGCCTGGTAGAAACCCATGAAGAATCTGGATTTGGAGATTGTGAGTGCAGTGGAATCAGTAGGAGGCCAATAAGGCTTAATGAAAAGTCTATATTCTTTTTTTTTTTAGATAAGGTTTTGCTCTGTCATCCAGGCAGGAGTGTAGTGGTGACATTGTAGCTCATAGCAGCCTCAAACTCCTGGGCTCAAGTGATCTTCTTCACTAATCCTCCCGAGTGGCTGGGACAATAGATGCATGCCACCACACCGACTAAGTTTTGTATTTTTCTATAGAGATGGGGTCTTGTTATGTGGTCCAGTCTGGTCTCAAACTCCTGGCCTCAAGCGATCCTCCTGCCTTAGCCTCCCAAAATTGGCCAGCCAAATGTCTATATTCTGAAATCATCCACGCAAACCCCTTCCCTCACCCCTAGGACTGGGCTCAGTACACAATAAAAGAGTGGGGGCCAGTGTTCGAAAATTAAGAATTTAGGACAATGACGGTAGAGCACCACATCAAGTGCAGGCCCTTCTGTGCAACTCAGTTCACATACCCACAAAGGCAACCCTGCTCACTCCCACACACAGAATGACACAAAGCAGGGTGTTTCTAAAAGGGGGGGGGTGAGGAAGGTAGGGAGGGAAAGGAGGACACTTCTCTAGTTAAACTGAACATTTCTGGGACTTACTAAGGTAGTAGGCATGGATGCTGGCACCCTAGAGCAAAGCTCTCTGCATAATGGTATCTGGGGGACCCCAGTTCAACATATGGCTTCCCGCCAGCTTACTCTAAAGCAAATCTCCAGGTTTTATGCTTCATTTTCAAATATGAAAAACACAACAAAGAATTTTCAGACATCTGATGATACTTTATAACACAACAAGAAAGACCAAGCTAAACAGAAGTCCTAGAGAGGAAATGCAAAAGGACTTGGATACAGTTTGGTATCCTTAGAAAAGTTGAGAAGGTATGTATCTGTAACACAAGAAGATGCTACAAAAATTGCTGAATTAAAGGATGCATTAAACAGAAAGGCTAGGCTGGGCACAGTGGCTCACACCTATAATCCCACAACTTTGGGAAGCTGAGGTGGGAAGACTGCTTGAGCCCAGGAGTCTGAGACCAGCCTGGGCAACACAGCAAGACCCTGTCTCTACAAAAAAATAAAAAATTAGCTGGGCATGGTGGTGTGTGCCTATAATCCCAGTTACCTGGGAGGCTGAGGCAAAAGGATCGCCTAAGCCCAGGAGGTCAAGGCTGCAGTGAGCCGTGACCATGCCACTGCACTACAGTCTGGATGGCAAAGTGAGACTCCCACTCAAAAAAACAAAAAGGCTAAAAGATAAGAATTGAGAAAATTGAAAATCTCAAAGAATAGAGAACAATCAAGAGACAGATGTCTAAAATCAACAAAGCCAGAAACAGATTTAAGCAACTATGAGGGACCTGGAGTTCTCACCAGAAGAACAAAAAACAAAAGCAGTTGCCTTCAGGAAGAGGTCAGGGGGTGGGAAATGCTTTTTAATCATATAAAACTTCTGTATGATTGAGCTTTTAAAAATCATGAACATATATTGTTTAATTAAAGAAAATCAAAGAAACACACACTCATTATAATACACTTGAAAAAAAAGACCCAAAAAATTTTTAAGAAAGAAGAAAAATCACCCATTGTCATAATAAAATGTTTCTACCATTCTGATAGTTTTGGAAAGAAAAGGTTTTTTTTTGGTTTGTTTGTTTGTTTGTTTGTTTTGGTGAGTTGGAGTCTCACTCTGTCGTCCAGGCTAGAGTGCAGTGGTACACTCATGGCCACCCCAGCATCAACCTGCTGGGCTCCAGCCATCCTTCTGCCTCAGCCTTCCAAGTAGCCGGAACTGCAGGCATGCATTATCACACCTAACTAAATTTTTTATTTTATTGTAGAGATAAGGTCTCACCAATGTATTTAATTTTCTTTCTTTCTTTCTTTCTTTTTTTTGAGACAAGATCTTGCTCTTTATGAGTCCAAAGCGGATGATCGCTTTAGGACAGGAGTTCAAGACCATCCTGGACAACCTATTGAGACCTTGTCTCTACACATAATAAAAAATAAGCCTGTTGTGGTGGAGCATGCCTTTAGTCCCAGCTCCTGGTTATGCTGAGGTGGGCTCAGGCAATCCACTCACCTCGGCTTCCCAAAGTGCTGGGATTACAGGCTCAGCCACCAAGCCAGGCCGGAAAGAAAAGTTTTTAAAGCTTTGAAAAAACATTCTCAGTTCTTCAGTTGAAAAAGAACTGTTTGGGAAGGCAAGTCCTCTTCTCCATCACTGATAAGGCCAGCCAGTCTTAGGCGATTTCCACAGAAATCTATTCCTGATCAATGGAACTAATACTAGGGTGTGACAGAAAAGATGTATGAACCTTCAGGGAGTGATGCAAAGGAGCAGCCTACAGACTCAAAGCTCAAGGCTTCTCAAAGATGCTCAGGACGAGGAGGCAGAGCAAGGAAGGGACCAGCATTAGCAAGAGGAAGGCTTCGTAGCAGCACCCAGATTTCAGTTTTGATCCCACACTTCTACTTACTAGCTGGGTGGCCTCTGGCAAGTTTCTGTTTTCTTTTGTTTTCTCTTCTCTGAAGTTTGTTTCCTAATCTATAAAGAGGTGAACACCTCCCCTGCAGAATTGGTGTGAAGGTTAAAGAGTATGCATGTGAAGTGTCTAGCATGCAGTAGTGACACAATAAAGTTATCTTTCCTACCTATTCAGAAAAATAGAAAAGCACCCACCCAAAATCATTAAGTGCAAAGAACTGTATTTTACTTTGAATAGAAATCATCTAACAAATAATAATTTCATTTTGAGGAAATAAATTTTTGTTTGATGAAGAAATATACTCACAAAATCTAAATGGGGTGCTCCTTCATTTATTTATTCATTTAATTTTTATTTTAAAGATGTGGGGTACAATTCAGGGTTAGGTATATAAATGTTGTTTATGCAGGTACCCTTGTTGATAAGGTGTGCCCCTCCCCCCTCATTCATTTTTAAATAGCCACTAGCAAACATTCAAGAATTTCAAAGGTTTTTAATCTAACTTAAATCAGTCACCCATACATCATATTTATATGGCATTGTTTACTTTTAGAAGCATTTTTTTACAAGTTTTTTCATCTGCTTTTTTATAATCCTACAGTGTAGATATTACTGTACCTATTTTATAACGGTGAAAGCTAAGAATGCCCAAGTGATTAACTGTATTATGTAGGCAGGTGGCAAAACCTAAATTTGAATCCAAGTTCCTCGACCCCTACCAACGAGGGGTTTTATTTCTGACCATCCCACTTTTCTCTTGACTATGTGGCATTTTACAATATACCTACCTAAAAAGTAAGGTCTAGAGCCGAGCTTGGTGGCTCATCCTGTAATCCCGTGCCTTTAGGAGGCTGAGGTGAGTGGATTGCCTGAGCCCGCGGGTTCGAGACCCACCTGGGCGGTGAGACCTCATCTCTACAATAAATCAAAAAATCAGCCGGGCATGGTAGCGCATGCCTGTAATACCGGCTATTTGGAAGGCTGAGGCGGAAGGATCGCCAGAGCCCAGCAGGTCGAGGCTGCGG